TTTTTTTTTGTTCTCACCAACATTCCATCAAATTTCGACTCTCGATATACACCATCGGGATCATATATGTCATCCAGTTGAGATAAATCTTCTGGCACGGGTTTTTCTTCCCCTTTAGATTTGCGAGCACGACTGTACCTAGAAAGTATGAGCGTGGTTTGTTGTAAAAATGCAAGCCTTTTCTAATTTATATAATTCGAGAGATCATATCGGTGGCTTTGACATTCACGTAAGTATAAGATCGTGTTTCTTGATGTGATTAAAACGTTATCAACATAAATTTGAGCATTTCAAACGTATGCCAGTGCTCACCCGCCAAAAAGCTTTACAATGATTATAGGAAAAACCAAAGAGAACAAGAGCAAGCCCAAAGAAGTGAGCAAAGCAATGTAGGCTGTATTATCAACCGGTTCCTCTGGTATCCATTCAGGAAGGCCTAAAAACTCCATAATCTTCCTATCAAATATATTGTAGTACTCATTCTATTCACTAACCACTCATATCAACCTGTTCGTCTGTGTATAGGACTTCTATTTTGAAATTTGGCATAGATCTAAATAATCTTTTTCACTACTGGAATCTGATAGATGAGTGGTTTCATCAGATTACAATTGCTTATTAAAATTTGTTCTCTTGCATGGCACGACTCTCTAAAAAGGTGCAGTTCATTACTCTCTACTTTCATTTACATTTATAGTAAATATTGCTTGTTTTGCTAATTGTGCTTTTCCAGTTCGTAAAGCTAATCTTCAGCTTTGATTAAGTTTAAAAGTGATAAAGCTATTTTTGCCAGTTATTTGCCCAGTTATTTTTGCATTGCGTATGCGAAAAGAGGTTATGGCTTCTCAACCAATTCAAGACAAAGTAGGCATAACGAATCAATTACGCTTAATTTTCATGTAGTGTGGGTTACCATTTTTCTGTTTGCTGTTTACAGCATTATTCCCTACTATAATGATTCTTATCAAAAAGAAGCTGCCATTAAGCTGTGTCTGGAGTACTTCTCGATTATCTCATGCATTTAGCAAGACTTTACAGTCCGCCATAAAGATTTGGGAAAATCTTTCCAAATCTTCAATTGGCTGTACAGCAATCGGGTTGCAGAAGCGAAACAAGGAACTGCAATAGCGCAGTTGTGGAGTAAAGTGATATGAAAGCGATTCTGTGCGGTAAGCGCGCAACGGCAGCTACTACAAACAAATAAGAGATCTGGTAAATTTGTCGAGACTGTCGTAGCTATGCAGAAGACGTGATAGATGTGTAAGGTACGAAGAAACAAACGGCGGAATCGCGAGTTCCTTTTTCTCTATTTTCTTGCACTTTTTTGAAATAATGCTGAAATCCGTCATACTTTATGCAACTGGTTTGTGAATAACACATCCTTATTCAGCCTTTGCTAATAGATTCTGTTTGATTGTCTCATACATGGTTTGACCATCTCTTTTTGATTATAATTCTATTCTGTACTAGCTGGAAAATTCGGCTACGCCTGACCTCATTTGGAACCTGTATTACATTTGTAGCTGTAATATGCAATTGAAAACTCGGGGGGCTGCATTGTTGTAAAGGTTTTTCGTTCATTTTCTTAACTGTCAGCGGAAAAAAAATCTGCATAACCATTTTTCTTTTTACACTATTTTTCAAAGGAGCAACCGCAAACCCTACCTACTCAAAAACCATATGTGTTTACATAATTTTGGTTAGTTATTTTGATAGCAAATAATAATTGCATGGGCTTGTTTGGCGCCAAACTCGTAATTCAGTATCATCGAACTCTAACTAAAATAGCTGAAATCTCTCTCTTCGCTCGATTGTATAGAAGCACGACCCGCGACCTAACCTGTATTTCATGAGGCTTTATCGTTGTTATGAACCCTACGTCCATTTTGTTGTATTGCGTCCTGCCTACCTCTTGCTTTAATCTCATTTCGTGGTTCGGAATACAAATTTTTGTTTCTGAACCGATAAGGCCCAAATTCTGCACACATACATTTTATACGCCGGAGGGTAGCATAGGCTATTCAGCAGTTAGTCATCTGATGGCTTTAATTTGCGAATTTCTGGCCAAATACGTCATAAAGTCGTCTAATAAAGTGATTCAATCGTTATCAGACTACTCAAGCAAGATCGAGTAAACAGTTTTTGAATAGAAGTAGTTGAAGCGGAGCAGTTGCTCATATTGGTTAGGAGTAAGAATCAGAGTTCACCGATAATTGCGAAAAGGCAGCCAAATTGTGTATTAGTGTTTTTGTTTGCATTTGAAGAAACGAAGGAAAAAATCAATTATTTGAAAGTGTCAAGTTAGCTGCATCTGAGCATTCAAATGCATTGGGTAACTACAAGGAATTGGTAGGCTCGCCCATTTAAGGGAAGAGG